AAATAGCTAATTTAACAATACTGCCACTGATGCAAACTATGTGTTTGGATCTCTATGCCGATATTTCATAGTAGTATTGCAGTAGCTCCTGGAGACCTCAAGCTTGGATTGGTGACCCTGTGTGGCAGAAGTTGCACAAACCATTTGAGTTACAGTAGTAATCACAATGCCTAAGTGATCTTTTATGCTTTCACACCTTCATAATCTCAGGGGTAAGCCATGCAGTAAAACTTTTCTCTCTCCACTCTTGCTGGATCTTTTTGAAAGGATCATGCAGATTTCTTCTGCAAGAGCTACTGAGTTTCACCCTACAAGAGGATGGAAGTGGTGGAGGGACCAGGGAGTTAAACATGAGTTTCTGACACAGGCTTCAAAAAGTTGAAATTTTCTAAATTAAAAAAGCAATAAAGAAAATATCAAAGATAAAATAGCTGCATTTTTATTGAATATGCAGGAAATCAAGAATTTAGAAAGGGCTATCTATAATGTTTATTTTTTCTGAACTCTCAGAATGCTTAAGGTGTTAATGGCTAATGAGCAGGTCCTGCACTTAATTTCCTAAGTTCTTAATAAATCTGTTTTATCAGTTATTTTTACTCTGCAAATTCCATGTACTGTTGAGACTATTGAAATACTAGAATACATAATTGATAGTTCCTCATAGAGAAAAGCATTGTAAAATGTTATTTGCGTTACCATTTTCTAATTAATACACTTCAACTGCACATTTTTAGGAAAATCAAGGAACATTAATATATATCAATATATCATTAATGTTCCTTGATTTGGCAGAAATACATTTAGCATCTATGAAAACTACAAATGTTTGCCTTTGATTTAAATTGTCTGGTTTATATGGAAGTTGGGCATTATCTTGGACAGTATACAAAGTCAATATTGTTCCTACCTGGTTTTATGCAGACACAGTTCTTACACTGCAGAAATGGTACATTGGTTTTGCCTCTTTGTTTAGTTTGAAATCAGTAGCTCATACCCAGCTTCTCTTTCTGAGGACATTGAAGCTTGCTGTACAAGTCTTCATACTGTTCAAATCTTAATGCTGTTTAAAAACCTGGGCTATATCCTACCATCCCAATAGCATATGTGTACATATATGTTCCTGTCTTTTCATGGTAGGACAATGCTTGAGATACTAATGATAAATATCTTCCACTCATTATTTTAACTGAGCAGGGAGACTGAATCTGCTTGAACACAAACTGATTTCATAATATCCATGATTCTGGTGTATCTGCTTAAGAATACCTGTGAAGGAGTAATTTAAAAAAAGGACACATAAAATGACACGGGAATAAACTTGCTTTCAAAAGAAAACAAAATAAAAATAAATAAAATACTGTAGCCTCCAAGTTTAAAAACTGTGGAGCCTATTCAATTTTCATTCAGTTACTCCCAGTACATTTATTTGACCCTCTAGAAGAACAGTAGAACTACTTTTTCAACATTCTGGGTATTTCTTCTTCTCACTCTGTTATGAAGACAGTTAATTTTTCTCAACAAGTGGCAAAGGCACTTTTAGCAGACATCTCTGTCTGCAAGAGCTGGAAGCAGGCATTCGTCTTAGGCTTTTATGGCGTTTAGTCCAACTCCTTCAGCTTTTTTTCATACTACTTTTAAGAGCTTCTGATTATTAAGAAGTGTTGTAATTTCCTTTTCAACTCATATTCACCATTCTCATCAAAACTGTCATCTTGGTGCCGTTCTCATCAAAACTGTCATCTTGGAGCCTGGATACAATAATAATGAACCATTTCATATAGGAGTTTTGGGTGAGTTAGCACACTGTTGAAACTCTTTGGTGCTGGTAGTGCATCTTCTGGCTGTCATCCTTCTCCAAGCTTGAAGGAAATGCAAGTGGTCAGGATTGCAGTCCTATTTTCCTTACAGCACTACTGGCCAAGACAGCTTGTTTGCATGGGTTTGGGTTTTTTCAGCTGACATCCACCATCTGGTTTCCACTGTCATCCTGCCATCTTTGAAAATTGTAGTAAATGCAATGTATAAGTCTAGATACCACTTTGAATTAAAGGCAGACCTCAAAGGACATCTGGAGTTGGTTCCAGATCACCGCTGCCATGCTTTTGTTCTACTGCCTGGTTTGAAAGGACAGCCCTGTTTTTAGGACTTCTCTTATATTCACAGTGTGGGTCATACCATTGCTTTGGTGAAGCATGTTACATTTTTCCATGCTGTTTCAGAGAACTCTTCGCACCTTCACACTGCCGATGCTGGGCATCACTTTCTTCTTATTGCACCTAATCTCTTCATGAGTTAGAAAAATGTGACTGCTCACATTCATCCTGGATCTTGGATATTTTGTTTTAGAACTGGGGAAGGACAGTTCAGAGGGCTCTCCAAGGGCTCTAGCGGCTTGGCCAGGGGAAGACGTCCTTCTGTACTTTGTTGATGCGGCACTATCAATCACAATTACGGAAATTATGCATGTTTTATAAAGTGGAAAAATAATTCAGATTTTGTCTTTTGGGTTGGGGCCAAGCATTCAGAAGATGTCTGGCAGCATTATATTTTAATGAGAATGGGTGTGCATGCATTTCTTCATCTGGAGTATTGACTTGTTGGAGATGGTATTTTGGAAGAGATCCAAAAATCATATTCTGGCAATTCAGTCTGTTGCTGGAGATAGGTTTGTCCCAGACTGCAATTGTAAATACCATATTAGCTGCTGTCCAATTCAGGACTCCTACCATGTCTGTCAGGGAGGTTTTACAAAAGCTCGGGGGTGTTTGTGTTTTCTGCCATAGTCTCGCTTCTCATCGGCTCTTCAACTCCCAAAACTTCTCAAGTCTGGATTCCAATAGGGACACATTTTCTTCCTCATGCTCAGAATCCATCAACTTTTTTTTTTTTTTTTTTTCCCTTCAGTAGGAGTTAATGGCCTCATTAATCTGGGGAAAGAGCAAGTGTTGAAGGCACCCTGGACCTCTCAGGTTAGATCTCCAGAGGCGGTGTTTGACGGAGGTTAGAAAACAGAGCAGCGTTTGACAAAAACCTAGCAACAATCTTACAAGTTTGAGATTTGCTTCACACCACATACTCTTCCATGTAGTCATTTACCTGAGTGGAATGGAAAATAGGATTATAAATAAATTAGAAACAGGTCCACTGGAAAATACCAAAATTAGGTTTTATATTAATGAGAGCACTCTATGTAGAACAGTTTCTTCATCCCCGATTTAAAACTCTATCCATGTGCTGCTTAACACATTGAACGTGGTTTCTACTAGTGAGGAAAGCCTTTCCTAGCCACCAAGGAAATAGCTTGTATATCTGTCTTTCCCCTATTGCAGGGGTAAAGAGTTTACAAAAAAAATATTGCCTGGAATGGACTCATGGCTTAGGAAGTCCAATATATCAGACTTTTACTGCTAAGTTGATGGTAGCCTATTTTTACGTATATGACAGTAAGATTTTATGTGGAAGGCCATTTACAAGTGGGAGGAATAGCCACCTGAAGATACTGAGGTATTACCTAGTCTGTCTTAAGCTAAGTGACAACTAGTCTCAAAAGTGCAGTGACAGCATTATGGTTCAGTGAACAATTACTCTTAACCAGCATCATTTAAGAAGCCCTGTGTCTTTTTAACTGTAACTTCTATGTACCTTTTGAGTTATCATAACATTAAAGTACTTGAAAAATGGTATTTTAATTTATAAGTGATGTAGAAATTTGATTCTGTTCTTGGCAATTAACAGTGTAGTTACACATCACTTTTCAAATAGTTTTTGTTTAGAAAAATGATAATTGGTACTTTGTGATAATCAGTACCTTCTCATCTCTGTCCTATGAGCTATATTTGCAGGGCAGTTGAGAATGGGAAATTATTTTATTGTGTTAAAACCATAGTAAAATACATTTATAATTATACAGTTTTGTATATATGCAGTATATAATTTTAATATTCAAATGTTCTCTAATGAATTTCAATAAATAAAGTAGAAAGGTGTAATTCAAGGCAATTGCCCTTGCTTTAATTCTCCTTATGTCCTCTCACATGATTTTTATGTATGACCACTGTCAATTCAAGACTCTTGCCTTAAGTAAAAGACACAGAATAATTTATTTTACATTTCAGCTTTTGTAAAGGGGTATAAAGGTACCCAAATCAACTTTATTATTCTCCCACTCTTTCTGTGTAACCCCCTCATAATACATTTATCCAGCTGGTCTTTCTTTTCACGCCAAGTGATGGCTATGACTAGACCATCCCAATTTACATTTTCTTCTTTATAAATTGTTGGGGACTGTGGGGTGTTGAATGTGTTGACCATAATGTATTTTTCTCTTGACATTGTATCATGGGCATCATTATGATATGTAATCAGCATCATTGGGTTTTTTTCTTCAGGAGTCCAAAATAATGCTTTAAATAATAATACTTCTAAACCCCATTAATGGAATAGAGCTGGAAATAGAAGAACATATGGTTCACATCTACATTTATATCATAGATTAATAGAATGGTTTGTTTTGGAGGGGTCCTTAAAGATCATGGAGGTCCAACCCCCCCTGCCATGGGCAAGGAAGTATGTACTCAGAGCCTTTCATGCAGAATCATTCCTGTCTCCCATTGAGCCTTTTTCCTAGTAGTTAATTTCATACTGGTCTATGGCTAATATAGTAAGTTACGGTTGCTTTTATGTTTATGCTAATCAATATGTGAAGAATGAAATCCTTTTTATCACACTCAGAAATTTAAGGGAAGTACAAGTGTGTGGTTAAATAGTGTATGGTTGAATAGTTTCCAGTCAGATGTGTCACAGCATTTAGTATCTGAAGTAGCTCATGGCAGATTCATTCATACTATGAAAGTACTAAAGTCTGGGTGCTGAAAACATTTTCTTTCCTCTGCATGCGTATCAAACGTTAATTTCTGGATTAATCTAGTTACTTTAAAACATTGAGGACTGTCTCCCGACAGGCAGTGTACTATTAATGGTTCTGTTCTTTTGTGTTACAGGGGCTTCAGGACAGTCATCATCAATAGCCATAGCTGGCACCAGCCAACCTGCCATCACAAAGACAACATCTGTGCTTCAAGATGGTGTTATAGTCACTACTGCAGCTGGAAATCCACTTCAGAGCCAGCTGCCCATTGGGAGTGATTTCCCTTTTGCTGGCCACGAACACTCACTCCATTTTCCGCAGAACAGCTCTTCAAACAACAATCTTCCACATTCTTTGAATCAAAACCTCCTCAATTCTCTGCCTATCTCTTTGCCAGTGAATCAGCAACATCTTCTAAACCAGAATCTATTAAATATACTACAGCCTTCAGCAGGAGAAGGCAAGTCTGAGGTCAACCTCAACCCTTTAGGTTTTCTCAACCCGAATGTAAATGCTGCTTTAGCTTTTCTCTCCAGTGACGTGGATGGGCAGGTATTACAACCTGTTCATTTTCAGCTTCTAGCAACCCTCCTTCAGAACCAAGCCCAAGCAGCTGCCATGCTTCCCCTACCATCTTTCAATTTGACCATCTCAGATTTGTTGCAACAGCAAAATAACCCTTTGCCCTCAGTAACACAGATGACAGCCCCACCAGACCATTTGCCAAGCAATCAGTCAGAAAGCAACAGGGTGGAAACCCTTTTAACCAACCCCCTGGGCAACCCCATACCAAGCTTTTCAGGCACTGACACTACTTCTAACCCCTTGCTCCTCCCAGCTGTCTCTGGGGCCTCAGCGTTAATGGCCTTGAATCCCCAGCTGGTGGGAGGTGTCCTGAACTCTGCATCGGGCAACACTGCTAATCATCCAGAGGTTTCCATAGCCACCTCCTCCCAGGCAACCACTACCACAACCACTACATCATCAGCAGTGGCAGCACTGTCTGTCTCAGCCCTGGGTGGTGGGACAGCAGTGGTGTCAATGGCAGAAACATTGCTGAACATATCTAATAATGCTGGGAATACATCTGGTCCAGCTAAACTCAACAATAACTCTGTGGTGCCACAGCTACTTAACCCTCTACTGGGGACAGGTCTGCTTGGTAAGTTCAATTTCTTAACAGATATAAAAGAAAAACAAAAGAAAAGAGGGTTGGGGAGGGGGAATTTTGGATTCTAGCTTCTATTTCTAAAGACTCCACTTTACCATAATTTTTTAAGGGGTTTGTATGTTACAGCTTGTTTACTACTATGGAGAGAAATGTAAGAAATTTAAAATACATTCTGATTTAATTAAGTAAAATTTAATACTGGTTTTGGAAATCATTTTAGATTCCATTTTTCATTCTGATGCCACCTAGGCTTACTATATACACTTTAAAATTCTGCAAGCAATTGGACTTGCTTCATTTTTCAAGTAGTAAAAGCACAGGTGCATCTCTGGGATGCAGTGTTTCATTTCAAGTGCGTGTGGCATCACAGGGTTAGTATGAGTAGCTGTGCAGTAGATGAAAAATGGTGAAGTACGTTTCTCCAAATGACTCAAAAGTGCCAAAACCACAAGCACACTCCCAAGTAAAGTAATCCTTAAAGCACTTGAAGTAGGTCCTCACGCAAGTTCTAAGAGGAAGGTTGCCCCTCAAGCCCTTTATTGTGTGTTTATATTTTCTCATTTCTTGTTGGTTTTTTTTCCTTTTCGCTTTAGCTTGTAGTTTAAAAACCCAGGGTATCTTATTTGCCAAACACCTACATCCCAACACAAGTGATTAAAAAGCCCTTAAATATAATTTTTTTCTCCTGGGTCTTGATTTTACCAAGAATATGTAATATAGTTAGTACTCCTCTGTTGCTTGGTCTATGTTATTTAATAAATAGACTAGTAGAAGGAATTAAATAGTGGCAAAGAGCTGATAAGTGTTTTAACTTAATACCTCATACTTGCCTACTAAATGGCTATCATGAACTCAACCCTGCTTTATATTTTCCATGTAAAAACTGACTAAAATGATGCTGCAAATGGAAATTTTAAGAAAAATAAGAGCTCTTAATTAAAAAAAGAAACTGAACAAATTGATATATTTTTTAGTTTTGTTACTTCATAAAGTCAGGTTCATCTGTGTACTTATTTTACTAGAACGAGAATTTTCATGTAAAGTGGGATTTTTTATTTTATTTTTTTTCTCTCTTCTGGTGCCCCGTTACTGTTTGAGGCAGTCACTCTTTGGAAACTAAAAATAAGATTCCAAGACAGCAAATATCATAGAAGCTCATTGTGCCATACTTGGCTGTGTGCTATTCCAAAGGCAACGACAGTCATGTCAGAAACCTTTAGAAAGAGTCCAGATAGATGTGACATGAAAAAGAAGCAATTCTGAAGAAATAAAGGAATAAAAACTGGGAGACACATGCCTTGAGGACCATTCTATAGAAGATTGAAGGGAAAGAGTGTTGTTTTACAGAAGCATTTGTTTAGCTGTCAGTTAAAATTTGAGTCAAGGAAATTCCTCCTGACTGTTGAAAACTGTACTGAGTTAGGTTTCCCTGTGTTTGAATTACAGGTGACATGTCATCTATAAACACTACTTTGAATAACCATCAGCTGAGTCATCTCCAGTCGCTATTAAACAACAATCAGATGTTTCCTTCAAATCAGCAGCAACAGCACCTTCTCCAGGGGTATCAGAACATGCAGGGCTTTCAAGGCCAGACCCCAATTCCTGGCCCAGCTAACAACCCAAACCCCATGGCATGTCTGTTCCAAAACTTCCAGGTAGGAAGCAAACTGAAATCAATTTTGAAACATATGTGCAACTCTCAGTAGGTAACACTATGTGCTCTATAGTTAGATTTTTATTTTCTTGCTGAGTGTTTAAGACAATATGATATGTGCAGTTGCTTGCCTGTCTGAGTAGGTTTTGGATTTTGCAAATCAGGAACATTTGTTACGGAAATTTTACTCCTTTTTCCTTAGAAAATGGGTATGGTTTCTTTGGAGAGAGTTACGCGGCATGTATTGAAAAAAATATGCTATGTATGTTCTTGCCAATTAGTATATGTTATTAGCAAAACTATTTTTCATTCTGAAGAAATTATTATAATTCTTGTTTAGGTCACTCTTACAATTCAGTGGTGAGAAATAAGTATTGATACCACTTTACAGCAATTAGAAACTTAATAATTTATTATAGGTGTGTACCAGTCCTCTTATATTCCCACTGAATGAGGAAGAGCTAGCTGTAATGTGGACTGTATAGACTGAAGAAAACCGGTGTTAGAATGAATGTGCAATGACAAAACTGTGCAAAAATGTTTATTTTGCTGTTATTTGTTGTAACTGTTACACACAGTTGTTATCTAAATGCTGTTTAGCTAAATAGTTCTTCATAATGAAAGTTGAGCTATCAAACCAGCATACTGACAGGAAAATAGCAGGCAAAATAGCTGATAAAACCAGAGTTAAAATACGTATTTGTTGCTATTCAGTATTTTTGCGGTTGCTGCATAACTCAAGACGTGAAGTCAGAATCATGCATAGAGCGCCAGACAGCGCTTTTACCCTTTAAGAGGGAAAAAAGAAGACATGTTGTTTTCTCAATGTAGATGTTTCACTCTTACTGCAAAATCACAGTCCTCTAACTGCCTATTAAATCTCTTTGGTTTTGTGTGAATTTTGGCTTTATCTCAGTATTTTTTGCTTCAGATTCTCAGTTATATAAATAGTAACAGTAAGTATTTAAACGGGCTTTTAGAAATATTTTACGCTTGTTTTTTACATTTTTGTTACAGCACTATTCTTGTCATTCTCTTCACTGCCTACATATGTGACAAGAAATATAAAAAGCACAGTTACTTTAATCTGAAGGTTACAATTTACACTGGCAGTGCCTGACATTACAGCTGCAAATGCATATGGATGCAGGCACGATTTACAAGGTACTAAAGTAATAAGAGATCCCATGAGAGAAGCACTTAAGGGGGAAAACTAGAAATGTTAGCCAATTCTAAAAGGACAGTGATGGCCTACATTCCAGTGATTGAATGAGGAGCATACAAGGAGTCTAGAAGAGCAGCTGGTATGGAGAAAAGAAACAAAATTAGGGTGTGGGAAGTAATGAAAGAGAATAGTTGAGAACAGAAATATTGACCTTTGTGGAGGTGTTTAGGACTTGAGAGAAAGGAGGGTGCTGTACTTCAGTCAGAAGATAAAATCCCTGAAAAGACTGAAAGAGAGGATAATGCAGTCTTAGCTGTGGATGGTAGGTTGTATCACTTCGTGCAAGGCATCTGTTTTGATCCAGGAGGCAAACTCTAAGAGCCAGTGTTTTTGTTCTCCTCTAAATTAAGCTTTTGTTTGTTTTCTGTCCATCTTGTTCAGCACTGAACTTCATAACTGATGCATAGCCAAAATAAAATTATGTGCTGTAACAGTCACCCTGGCCACCATCCTGATTTGTGAATCAGGATGAATTTGTGAATGAAACCAAGTTTTACTGTTGAAATGTAACTTTAGACAGACTAGCAATGTCTTTTTCCTGCTTTTACCAGGTGAGAATGCAGGAGGATGCTGCTGTCCTGAACAAAAGAATGATCACTCAAATGGGAATGGCACCAGTTCCTGACAGCTCCAACACTATGCTTCCTCCTTTCCAAGAAACATCTTGTGATTTGCAGCAAAGAAATGAACCCTCTCTTGGACAAGCAAAAGATAACCTCAATGTTGCTGCTCAGGGTGATACATCGGTGGACGCAATCTACAAAGCAGTTGTAGATGCTGCAAGCAAAGGGATGCAAGTAGTAATCACCACTGCTGTTAGCAGTACAACACAGATGAGTCCCATTCCAGCTTTGAGTGCCATGAGTGCCTTCACAGCCTCAATTGGTGATCCATTAAATCTTTCTAGTGCTGTCAGTGCAGTAATCCATGGAAGAAACATTGCCGTTTCTGATCATGAAGGTAGGATAAGGAGCACTAGAGGAACACGAATACCGAAGAACTCAGAGCATGGTAAAAATTCAAGTGAAGGGGATGGGTATGAATATTACAAATCATCAAGTTGTAACACACCCAAAAAACAGTGGGAAGGGGAGCAAAGTCCTGTCAATGAGGTAAATAGGTGGAAATGTGATGAGTTTCTAGACCATTCTACCCATATCCATAGTAGTCCTTGTCATGAAAGGCCCAATAACATCTCCACATTGCCATTATTACAAGGCGAGCAGCATCAGATACTGTTATCACAGCGAAACTGTCAAAGTGATAAAATGTTGGAGGAGAATTTCAGGTATAACAATTACAAAAGAACTATGATGAGTTTTAAGGAAAGACTGGAGAACACTGTGGAACGATGTGCACACATAAACGGAAATAGGCCTCAGCAGAACAGAGGATTTGGGGAGTTGCTGAACACTTCTAAACAAGATTTGATTCTGGAAGAGCAATCTCCAAGTTCCTCAAATAGCTTGGAAAGTTCGTTAGTTAAAGACTATATCCATTACAATGGAGATTTTAATGCCAAAAGCATAAATGGGTGTGTGCCTAGCCCTTCAGATGCTAAAAGCATCAGTAGTGAAGATGACCTAAGGAACCCAGATTCCCCTTCTTCAAATGAGCTGATACATTACAGGCCGAGGACGTTTAATGTTGGCGACTTGGTCTGGGGCCAAATCAAAGGACTGACTTCATGGCCTGGAAAGCTAGTAAGAGAAGAAGAGGTTCACAATTCATGTCAACAAAACGCTGAGGAGGGGAAGGTATATTTATATATATATGCACATATTTATCTTTCTATATACACATGTAGATATGCCCATACAAATGTTCATCAAAACTATCTGTGGTCATTCTTTACTCTTTGTCTCTCATTTTAGTAGGACAGTTTGCTTTTTTCCCATAATTCTAGCTTGCAGAACTGAATTTTTCCCTTAGCTATCTAACAAGAAACTTCCACCAATGCCATGAATCAGATTGTGTTTTAGCCTGATTATGCTAATTTACACACAAAAGATTTGGTACACAAAAAATGTTAACAAAAATTTGTTTAACTTACATGGTGTGGTGAGTCAGATTTCTGGCTGTGTTCAGTGAAACTGATACGGAAGTGTAAAAGCATTGAAAACTGCAAAAGGGAAAATGATTTAATCAGATTGAAGAGTCTGTAAAAAGTAAAAGCTTGTTGATTGACGCGTACACCCTTTAAGACGAAATGCATGTGTATTTCCACCTTGAAAGGAGGTTTGGGGCATCTTTTAATAGTAAGGAAATCATTCCTTTTTCTTCTTTCATACTAAAATGATTTGGTTTCTTTTTCTTTCTTTTTTTTTCTGATAAATTACATGCTTGTTGGGGAATATACCAAAAATACAGTTACCAAGGAGTTGCTGGTTATTTTGTTACGATAAATATTTAAAATTCTCGTCTCTAGTACTTGTAAAACATTATATTTTTGTAGTTCTTAGAAATATTTCTAGATAGAAGATGTGAAATATTTTATAAGTGCTGCTTTATAAAATGTAAATTTTAAAAACATGTAAGCAGAAGGGAATGACCTAGTGAAATAGCTTTTTACCTCTGATTCAAAGAAATCAAGCCATATGTCTTTTTTCCCCCTGTACCTACCTAGTACACTGCATGACAACAGTCGTAATAATGGTGATAGTAGGTTGGACCAAAGTATTCCTACCAAAAATCAGACCAAGAGTAGATATCCAGAGGAAAACAAATGCAAGAGGATGTTGGAAAGTGCTTCTTCACCAGCAGTCTCTGACTCCCACCAGCTCAGGAGCTCCTTGAGTTGCAACTGGTGTATCTTTGTTGTAACCACTGCTGGTCTTACCATCTTTGCTGATGATAGGCTGGTATGCAAATGTGATTTCCCCAAACAGTCCAATAGATCTTTGATGAATTTGGTACTATAAATAACTGGGGTGATGTTTGGCCAGAATGGTTTCAACCCTCTTCCAAGAGAATTTTAGTCTCTCTTTACAGGTAGTTTCTCTGTTGATCTCCTTATACCCATAAAGGTTTCAGAGAGCTCCAGTCTGACTAGCTGAACAAAAGTATTTATAGAGAGTTCAGTATACTTTGCTAGCAGTATTTGAATGCTTAAGAGCTCATTCCTTATAAAGGTTAGATCCCCAAGTTACAAGTCAGTTTATAAAGCATATGCAAGTGGCCCAGACCACAAAATATAAAAATTAAACAAAACTGGAAAAATAAGGTGTACAATATCATCATCCCTTATGAATTACAGAAACAGTGATTCACTGCATGTATGTTCCAAGTATGCGTTTATGTATTAACTTCACAAAGGTGTGTATCTGTATGTGTATGACTGGTTTGATACATTTGAAAAGGGTTTTTTTTGTAAAAAGGATGATCTTTTTTCATTTTTCATTCCTTAGCAGCTTTCTAAGTTCACTCCCGAATTTGTGGATACCAGAATGTAGAGTTGCTTTGTGCAAACCCGCCTTCTTCAATTTTCTGTCTCCTATGTACATTATATAAGCATTGTGTAGCATTATATTCCATGGCAGAGATTTTATTGTATACTGAAGCGCGAACAACAGGAAAGCAAAATGGAAATGCATACATTGCTGCTCATGCAGTACTGACAAGGTGCTTGTGGAGGCAGCAAGAGAGACTGCTTCAAGTTCTTCATCTGGAAGTCCCATGTAATGAATCACCTCTTGCTTCAGAAGGCCTTTAACTTTATGATAATAATTTTAAATTAAAAAAAGTCTGTTTTTCTCCAAGAAGTGGTACAGAGTGAATGATCATTCCAAAGGTCAGGAGTTGAGGTTGAAAGGTGGGATACAGGGGTTAATACGAAAGAGGTGAAAATGTGTATGTGCTGCATAATAGTTCTGTTTATAGTTGAAAACAGACAGGAATTCCCATGCACAATGGCAATCTATACACATGTTCAAACACTCTCATAATGTGTTGTACAGCTGCATTCTTTAGATGTTTGGGCACCCTATCTGAAGGAAAGAAAAAGAAGGGGGGGGAGCAGAAGGACACCACACCAAACAGAAAAAAAAAGGACCTTGAAAACAAAAAAAGAAATAACCTGGAAAACCAAATGTTCTTCAGAAATTCTGTGCTTCAAAAGATCCTGTAATGTTACAATTCATGGTGGGAGCCACTATCAGCAGTTCTCAAAATACTGTTTTCTGTGGAGCTTTCTTAGAGCATCTTTCAAAGTATTTGTATATTCATATGTTAACCTTCTATACTGTAATATTAGTTTTGCTATGCTGTTTGGTTTTCATGGTACTTTGTATATTATCTGTACTTTATATATTATCTGTACTTTATATCATACATAATTCGGTTTCTGTTTCCATTTAAAAGATTTTGGGTATTTAATGTAATAATGCTTCTGTTTGAGGAGCAGCTAGAATGGTGTTTCTCACACAGGAGAAGGGAGGAATATTACACCTTTGTTTCCTAATGAACACTTGCTTTTTGGCTATTTGAAAATTAAACAGGAACCCAAAAGAACTGCAGCAGTAACAGCAGAAAGTGCACACACATCCTAAAATGGAGGATGTGTATTTCATGAAGTAATTAATTTGATTATTAACCTAATCAAATCACCTAGATGAGAACAGAGTTTTGAGAGCAACAATGTGAAAATCAGAGGGTTTGTATGAGCAGTAATTTCCAGTTAGTGTATTTCATAGTGATTCTTAAAGGGCAAGTATTGTTCACAATATGACTTTCCATCAGTTAAACTATTTTTTTTTAAACTGACTTTTATAGTTTTACATATAATAATATGTGCGATTTATCAGTGTCCTGAAAATCCCATTTGTATGTATTACTTATTATTGTAATGGCTTATTGTATTATTAATTCAAATATATCTGTTATACTTGCTTCCAATACCCATGTTATATTAGCAGTTGGATACTACTGCTTTTGAAAAGTGCTATCAGGTGTTACAATGCTCTACCATTACAAACTTCCAGTGATGAAGATACTTGATTCTTTTTTATTACTTAAGTCCCTTGTTACCTAACATGGTATTAGCTATTCAGAAAAATATTTACCATTGAACTTTTTTATATATCTAGTGGCAGGTGTATACAACACTTTGTAAAGCTTGCTTCTTATGTGAACACATATATTGTGGGTATGGATAATGTCCAATTTAATATTCATGACAACTTTGTCATGTAGTAAAGTGTCCAAGGTAAAGGATCACGATTGTGTTATTTTCATAGAATCATGGAACGGTTTGGATTGGAAGGGACCTTAAAGATAGTTAATTCCACAACCCTGCCACAGGCAGGGACACCTTCTGCCAGACCAGGTTGCTCAAAGCCCCATACAGCCTGGCCTTGAACACTGCCAGGGATGGGGCAGCCACGGCTTCTCTGGGTACCCTGTGCCAGGGCCTCACCACCCTCATGGTGAATAACTTCTTCCAAGTATCTAACCTAAAACTCCCCTCTGTCAATTTAAAGCCGTCCCATATCCCTGTATCCTGTCCCTACATGTTCTTGTAGAAAGCCCCTCTCCAGCTTGCTTGTCAGCCCCTTTAGTCACTGGACGGTGCTCTAAAGTCTCCCTGGAGCCTTTTCTTCTCCAGGCTGAACAAGCCCAACTGTCTCAGAATTCTTTAATTCTGTTCAGTTTGAAAAATCACAGTTTATCCTTTAGCTGTTTTTCAAACATGCTGTAAAATGAAAGGCTTGAGCTGTGGTGTATCACAGACAGAGTAGCATTGCCTCCGTTAATACAGTTTTAATGTAGGAGATGTAACACATAAACTGAAGGTGGTTTGCTCATCCTGTAAGTGTTTTGTGCTGTTTCTTCTGCTGTTATCCTTATGAAAGCTTCCCAGGTTTTAAACAGATAGTACTTCTTTTGTATGCATTTGTATTTTTCCGAAGTCTGATTAGGAGAGGAAGCATTTCCAAGTATGTGCAGTCTTGAATTAGAAGTAAACACAGTTTTAAGGGAAAAGAGCTACAGTCTGCAGCATAATTGAATCTGTTTCATGAAAATAGAAATCTTGCTTCCCCATGTGCCAGTTTCACCATTAATGACATTCATTTTGTAAGTTCCTGAAATGGCAGTATTCCCCAATTTCATTATCAGATGCATTAAGTTCAGACATGGGAAATGTGGTCTAAACATGTATTATATTTGCCTTATTGCTAGAGATTTTGACAACTTGCTCACTGACTACCTACACATTGTCACATCTAAAAATCTATTTCATTGTGAATATAAATTATTTAGTAATAGAAAGTCTGGGTTTAGAGGGAATTTGCATTTAAGTTTCTTTTTTTTGATTGTATATAGGCATGCTTAATAAATTTGTATTTATAGAATTAATTTTCCTTGTGTCAAAACATAAGCTGTACTTTCTAATCAAACAAATGCTATACAAGGTTCTTGTTATATAAAGATGAAAAAATAAGTCAAGCGAAATGTGGCAATACTGACAAAGAAAAAGGAGTTCATCCATTCATTCTCTTTACATTGATGTGTTTTAAATAACTTTTTGGTTTTAAGTACCTTTTTTTGGTTTTAAGCAGAAATGACTGAGCCAAATAATATGCAGAGTTAAATGGGCTCACGTTTTGAGAATGCAAATGATGAAATATAGATGATATAATTTGTTTCCTTCTTGCTTGTGTTGTTTACAGTGGTACTAACTGGTACCTGTGCAGTGGTGCCAGTAATTATATGCAGCAGTTTATATACAGACTGCTTAAAAGATTTATCGTTCTGGTCAATTTCAAGAGATCTGAAAGTTCCAGTTAAGGAGCTTTAAATACCAGCTCAGCAGCCCTGTTGAGCACGTGCCTGTATTCATTCCTGACTCAGCAGATTGCTAAAGTATGTGCTGCTTAAGAAAAAATTTAAAAGACCTTTTTTAGGACCAATGAGTCAGCTGGCTAAAGCAAGCTCCAGATAAGTCATGCACATTCATAAAGTTTGTCACCTTGCCCACCCCTTTTTCAAGGCCTTAAGCCTTTTAACTTAAGCATGTAAGGTGGCTCTTCTGAAATAGGAATGAATTTGACCATGCCATTGGTAGCATTGTTGAACGGAGGCCTTAAATGCTTTATCAAGAAATTTGAGGTGATGTGAAACATTTTTGTGTTGATGGCATCTATAAAAAAAATTGTATCATGTGCACTAGGCAGCTTGGTATGTTAATGCATTCCAGGTGGTCTCAAAGGTGTAAAAAGACATTTGTAAAATGTGAGTACAGAGTTAAAAGATTTCAACAACAGTGTTCATATTACTAATATGAAGAAAAAAAGGTTTTAAAAATATTAGTCTCCTTAATTTTGTTTTCGTGAGTGTCAGGGTTTTGGGTTTTGGGTTTCTATTGCTGTGGGCCCTCTAGAGAATTTACAGTATATACATATATATATGAGGGGGTGTATATAGACAGACATTCGTTAATTCTTAGCTGGGTAGGTTCGTGTCATGGATGCAGTGAATATTAGACTCCACAATAATGCATGTCTAGCAGTAAAGTAAAAGCAATGTTTAATAATTGCAGGTCTGGGTAATGTGGTTTGGTGTTCATACCTTCACTCAGGTGGAGCCAGAGAAGTTGAAGACACTAACAGAAGGTCTAGAAGCTTACAACCGAGCCAGAAAAAGGAACAGAAAGTAAGTAAAATGCTCATTCATTTAGTAGTGAAATGGAATAATTGAATTCTTTTGCTACGTAAGACACTCATTTTGGGAAGCTTAGCAGATCGGTAAAACTGAAGAGTTAATTTTCTGAATTCCTTCTGTTGTTTATGATAATCAACTCAGATCTTTGATACCTGCATTTTTATTGCATCTTTTGATATTTACAGTAGCCTTTTTAAAATGTCATCCTCCTTGTTTGAGCTTTCATGTGTAGGATTTCTGATTTACAGCAAAAAAAGTTACTACATCAGAACTATTCTGACCAAATACGTTTTTAACAAGATCTGCCCTTCTTATCTCTTCCCTCTCCTTCTGGCAGCTGCTGCTATAGGTAGACCACAGGTTTATTCAGATAAATCCAGTTTATTTCCCATTTCTGAGAAGCACTTCAGAATTTGTAAAGTCTGGCTATATTTAACCAGGCACGGGGCTTAGTACAGAGCTTTCCTAGTGCTTTGTGCCAGACATGTATGAATTATTTGGCTTTATCTTGCCTTTTAGGTTTTATTTACAAATGTAGGAGGATAGAAAGACACTGAAAGAGTATGAGGACACGATCAGCATAGAGAAAAAGAGGAAAATGGTTGGCTTTAGAAGCAAAAAAAAATCTGGACAGCTATGAAAGGATAGCAAAGTAGAAATTGTACTATGATTGGATTTGTTCTAGGGTGCTGCTGCTTATTTACTGTGGCAGTGAAAAAAAAAAATTACCTTGAATCTGTGAGGATTTAAAGCCAGCTTGCAGTACTTGTCTTTAGCACAATAAACATAGGCTTAAAGAAATTAAATAATTATTTGTCTTCAATTCCTTTTATGGTGTAAGTTTTTATTTTATTTGAGTGTCATGAGGCACGCAAGAGGAGTATTTTTTATGCCCATGAGACAATGTTGGTGGTTGTTTTCTCCAAGATCATCCTCAAAATAACTTGCTGGATTTTACGGGTGTGTGGTGAGAACACAGAAGGGCTTTTGGCAACTCCCCAGTTATTTGCTCATGTCCCTGAAGTGAAATACGTGACTCAAGTAAGGTGACACCGGGAACAAATTTAAAGAGGTGTTAAAGTTGAAATAGACAGTACAATTTAAGAATTCCCATCTTCTGATTTGCATTCGTATATTTAGCAGACTGCAGGGATTGTCTGCAATTCCACTGAATCCAGTGGCCTTGTTTAGCAGCATGTCTGGTGCTGCCCCATTGCTTGCCCATATGGAAACCAGAAGTACTGAATATCCCAGCCAGTCAGGGGCACATGGTTTCCTCTTCTGTAGGATTGCTTTACAGCCCTTAAAGTTTCTTCCTCCATATTTAGACTTGTGCGCATTTCACACTTCAAAGCTTTTAGTATTTCTGCATGGACCCTTCCTTTTTTTCCTTTTCCTTTTTACTTTTGTAAATATATCTGAAAATGTTATTAATCTTTATAGTCTTTTTTCTGCTTTTTCTCTCGGTGGTTTCTTGTTGCACGCAATTCCAGTTGTTTTAAAACATTTAGCATTAGATATAATTGCTACACATAGAATACTCCTGTTTCTGTTTCCGTTTCCTACTTATCTAAGTATTCAGCACTTATACGTATCACCTACTGGCATCAAGTTGAACACTTCTTTACCTATGAAGACACAGGTAAAGAAACACAGGACAAATTCAGCTGAGAGAGCATGAACTAGCATTGCACAGGTCCCGTGTGTTTTGCAGAGCAAGGTTAGCATCCAAGTCCTCAAAATGACATTCAGATTCCTTAACTCCATTCTTCATATTCCTAACTTTCTTGTCTCAGCCCTAGTATATTTTTGATTTTTTTATCTTCACTGCATGGCCAGTCTCCAATAATATATATTCATATTATATATTAAATATAAAATTATTAAAACTAAATTAAAGATTTAAAATGTCTGCAAAGCTGAAAGCTGTGTTATAATAGGGGTGTAATTAGGATGGCATTCAAGTTGCACCTCAAATCCAGTACTTGTAAATCTTAATCTAACTGTAAGAGCTAGTTTGTAGTGAATACACAAGCTTGTGTATTCAGCTTTTTAGGTTTGTAAACAAGACACGAGACAAAAAAAGTCATTGTAGCACTTTTCACCAGCATAGGCAATGTGTTAGCCTTGCTGAGCTTTGTAACTTCAACTAGTAGTAGGATCTAAAACATTTTCTGTAGAAAAAAATGTTTTGGTTTTGCTTGGGGATGTCTCAGAGGCATCTCCTCTGAGATGTGCAGAAGTGGTGAGAAGTGGTGTGGCTTCTTAACTGTCCTATTTATTCTGGGGGTTGTAGGAAGATGCACTCAAGTACAAACCACTGAGCCATTCCCACCTTTTTCAGCTCCGTCTCAGCCATTCCATTCCTGTTTGAGCCATGTCCCTTTCTTGCTTCCAACAAGTCATGACGTAGCAGCGTCCTCACCTATCCAGTTGTGGTCTCCAGAAGAGTGTGTTCCCAGTTTTCCCTTATCAAAGCCTTGTCTGATCCAATCTTTGTTTTTTCCCAAGTTTTGTAGTTATCTGGATTCCTCTGTTCGCTAGCATTCTCCTATCACACTGCACGCAAAGCATCTTCCAAGTGTCACAACCCAGTGCCATGTCTCCTTCTTCTGTGGTTTTGTGTTTCTCTGTGTGTTATTTCCCACACCAGGGCTCTCTTTTATCGGGAACGTGCCCTTTGCCATCCCTACCATTACCATCTCTACCATCCATGCTAAGTTATTTCAAAATGAAGTTTGAGCAGTGGCTTCTTAGAGTTGACGTTATGTCTCTGATATTACTCCTGTTGAATGTGTGCCATATTCAGTCTCCATCCTGATACAGTACTAAGTCTCTTTGTCCTCTCTAGATGTGAGTCTAGTAGCAGCTTGCCCTATACTGTTAACAGTCAAGTGAGATGGGTGCGCTCAGACGTCATTGTTGCTGCAGGAGCTGCCCAGAAGCAGCGACTGCAGGTGAAATCTGGAATATGTCTACTGTAGGAGGGAGCTTCAACTCCAGACAGGCTCAGACTTTATTCTGATTTTATGATTTGGTAAAATTTTAAATGTTAATGCATCCTAGTGGGGAGGAGGAGGAGGATTAACAGAATGCTTTTTACAAAACAGTTATCTTCCCTTCTTCAAAGCTGTTGGCCATGGGAGGTTTTCTAAGATACGTTGTGCTGCTTTTCAATGAGAGGAACAAACTCACTTCATGTTCTTAAATGTAATTTGATGCTCACAGGTTGGTTTGCATCACTAGAGACATGATGCATATGTTGATCAGGTAGCAAATTCTCAGGTTTTAGCTACAGTGGTTTTTCTGCAGTAAATGAGTATTTCAGTGACAGACTTTTCTGAAACTTTGATTTGCTGTGGGGGCTGATCATTGCCTTGAGAGTAAAATTAAGATAACAACAGAGTCTTAAAACTACAGTGCAAATGTTCATGTGTATTTTAAATACTTTCAAATGGCTTTTCTGACTCAGCAGGAATTTCATAGATATTTTAATAAGGGTGGGCTGCTGATAGAACATAATGTTGATTAGATAACTTTACATCACATATAGGTAGTTTGACATCTGAAATCTGCTTCTAGGTGACGTACAAGTCAGCAATGTTATTAGTTATTAAGGCATCTGTTATTATCTGTTAAGGTATCAGTTACTAAGATACAGTCATATAACCTTTATAGGAGCTTAAGTTGCCACTAAACAATATTATTTGTCATTTATAAGATCAAAGAGTGCCTTCACTTGCCCAAGTTGCATAACTTAAATATTTTTTTTGGCAATCAGTCTAGCCAAGTAGATAGAAAACCCAGGTGGGCATGTCAGGCTGGGTATGCAAATTTTGATTTCAGTTTATCTTACCATTTCTTTGGCTGATTTAAACTACATTGCAGTACATGATTCTAAAGTCGCACCATACTCAGTAAGGTTTCTAGCTTTTTTAATTCTTTTGTGCAGTTGATGCCGTGGTATAGCTCAGATAACCAATGCAAATTAGTGTTAGGGAATATCCTCTTTGAATAATAAAAAACAGACCCTCTGATCTCCTGTCTTCGATTCTCCCAGCTGTACTGATGGATATGAAAATCATTTTGCTGATCTAGGGGGGTGGAATTGCTGTACAGCAGTGCTGGTCATATAAGTTCATCTGTGCTACTTCCTTGTCAGTCTTTTGACAATACTTGTAGTTGCTATAAATCTTCAAGTCAAATTCAAGGGAAGAATGTCCCAGCTGACATGATGAGTTTGCTTTCCTTATTAAAAGGGGAGGGGCTTTTTATAAAGTGTCTCCTTCTGTGATGGACGGTCTTCCCTCATGATGCAGATGGCTCTCTTCTTCCTCCCCTCATTTCTGCATCTCCAGAGCAGAGATAACAGTACTCTCTTACTTCCTGACGATATTGTGATGGATGCTCATAATAATGTCCCTCATCTGCAGGATGATTTTTCTCGTTTCATATTCAGCTGTTTGTCTTCAAGTTCATTACTCTTATAAATGTACTTATTCAGTTAAAGCTATGAATGAACCTACCTATCTGTCTATCTATATATATATACCTGCTTTTAAGCGGAGATCTGCAACAAGCTGTGAGTGACCAATATTAACTTGTGCTCAAGTACGATTTGCTACCTTGAAACTCTTGAGGGATGAAGATGGAGCTATAGAAGCATAACCTGTCATGGACAGCATGGTCTTTAAGCAGGAAACTTCTTTAAAGAAGAAATATGCATAAATAAAAAATGTCACTGTACAATTAGATGTGTGTGGATCTGCCCAGTGACTTGGGGTAACTTTGGGGTTGGAAGAAGAAAGTCTTCATCCTGCCTTTACCATAACCCTTCTGTGCTGTCATTCTGAAACTAGCTGTCGTTCTAAAACTGTCATAGTAAAACTAGCAATGTTTTAGAAGATTCTTACCACTTATATTCCTCTGGCTATTTAAAGTTAGAAGGGGTATTTCACTTTAAGCTTTTTGTATTGGGTAAAAAGACTTTTCAGCTCACACACTGTTTTCTTGAGAAGACAGCAGTGTATGTATTTCGTCCTTCACAAAAGTATTGCCAAAATGTGACGACATTTAGAGAGTAAATGCAGCATGCAGCATGGAGCGGAAGTAGGCAAAGGCAAGCTGGCACTAAAGGTTTAATAACTTTTGAAGTCCAGAATATTCCTCTTCTGCTCCTGATTAAGACCCATGTGAGTCTGGCCCTTTGCTAATGATGAAAAGAAAAAGATTGTACAAAATGCCTTGTTACGAGGAAGTGCTCTGGCTTTTTATTCATGGGTGTAATTGACTTGTGGATATTGTAACTGTACAACTTACTGGAGTGCTGGCTTTAATTTTTCTTCCTTAACTACAATACAAGCCTTTAGTTTGCATAATACGGTCTATAGGTCTGACCTTGCTTAGTTGTGCTGTAACAACCTGGAGGCTTTACTGTTAGTAGAATGTGCCCACTGAATTAATGTGTTTATTGGGGGTTTTAAATCTACTGAATTTTTTCTCTCTTACTAAGAATTGTTAATGGTGTTATTTTTTTCTTCCTAGAAGTGGAAAGCTAAATAACCATTTAGAAGCTGCTATACATGAGGCCATGAGTGAACTAGACAAAATGTCTGGGAATGTAAGTTTCTTTTCACATTAGCACTAATCTCCTTTTTCTGTGTTTCTGCATGTGAAGACTGGGAGTGTTGGTTTGGATTGCTTTCTAAGATATTTTTTGTTTCTGTTTTCTTAAATAACATGGAAATTTCAGTATTTCTCCTGCATTAAAACTGTTTACAAATGTCTAATCATTCTGAAAAAAACGGGAAAATTGTGGGATTTTTGTTGCATTGCCAATTATATTATTTTTCACAAAGAGATTCCTCGGCATACTTTTACCCATGCAGCCTGATAATATTTGGATTGGTTCCAGTCCTGCTCCTGTTCCAGGGGTTTTCTCTGTCTAGTGACACAAAATCAAGCTCATTTGTTTTCTGTTTGGTAGCAAGATATTGAAACCACATTTAAAAGCATCATTCTTTTGAATGTAAAACTCTTTGAATAAAGTTTTCCTCATGTGAAATGAAAGATCCTGTCAGGAAAGGTAAGTTAAAAAAAAAAGCGTCCCTAATATCAAATCTAAGAGTGTTTTTTCTGCAGTAATTACACTGTTATTTGTAAGCCCTAAATCTGTCTGATATGAAATGTGGTTTATATAATATACTGTCTTCATACTTAAAACATGATTGTAATTTTATTGAAGCACACTTAGAAATGCAAAAGTTTTATCACAGCACATGAAACCTCCCCTATCTTACCAATAGTAATTTCTGAAATTATTAATTACCCATTTGAATACAGAAATGCATTTTCCTGATATTCAGTGCTCAGTACTGAAGATGCTTGTACATGTGCCTATTTAGAAATTGTGGTAAAACCACAGGGGAGCTTCTGGAGTATATAAAGGGAAATGTATACAGAACTGGAGGCTTAGAGCTGATTTCAGAACCACCAAGAAATATTCAATAAGTTATGCAGTAATTTCTAATGGCTCCTGTAAGTAATAATAGAAGCAATCTTTTGTTTAAACTTCTGAGTTTTACAAAATGAGATAGGGTTTCAATTTAAAACAGTGTGCATTTTCCTCTTGTCTTTGGAAGAAATAGGAAAGCAGTATCTGATTGTAGGTCTGTTACAAATTAATGTGGGGTGTTGTGTTTGGCACACACATCTCCTGTGTTGGTTATACCAACCTCTGACATGTTTGGCCTCTAACATTCTAACTTTTTTTTTTTCATTTATAAAGCCAGTGATACTGTAAACTATATGGTGTATGCATTTTAACTGTGATATAACTGGCTCAAGGGAAACTGCTGTAATTGGATTTGCTCATCTGGTTGCTTCATAATGCAGACAAGCTGATGTACCAGCCTGAGTGTCATTACCTACTCTTGGCTTATATTTAAATTATCTGGTCACAAATATTTGTGACCAGAGTTTATTTCCATAAAGACTGTGATTCCTAGAAGCACTCCTAGGGAATCAGTGGTTCTCTTTGTAGCGACTTGCATTTTTTTCAGCTACTACTGTTCAGATACCTGTTACATTTTAAGTGAAAAGATCATTAGCTCAGAATTATTTCTACTTGTAAGAGCAAATACGTAGTAAATGTTAACGGCCTGAAGGAATCAGGATGGACCCAGAGAAATAATATAGCACCTTGCTGAAGGATTTGCTGCTGTTGTTTGCCTGCTGTTGGAAAGCTGCAGACTGCTCTTCCCATACAGCAGCTGGCTTCCACCGACAGATGGTGGTGGTATTCCACACTCAGCGCCTTCCTCCACGGCTCTTCTTCCAATTAAGTTGTGATTTTTACTGAGCAGACAGTGATGAAAATTGTTTCACACTCAAACTAATCTAGCATTTAGCTTGAAATTGAGTATCTCCTTTTAAAAATTAAATGAAGACAGTTTGCTAAACATAACTTGTTTCATAATAATGCTACCACAGACCCAAATTTCACTCCTTTTATTTTCCCTGTTAGCAATATTTTCTCACCACCTACTTCCTACTCTATTGCTCTTGTCATGAGTCTGTATAAAGGTTTGTCTCCAAGAATTTGACATAATTTCAGTTTTGGGTTCCATTCCCACTTACGTGCTTTCACAGTTACTGTAGCTGGAAGCTTTCTCCAAGGTAGCCAAGGTTCAAGGCACACAGGTTGCAGCATCAACCTTTTTCTCTCTACTGCCTTAAAGTTCTTGAAGTTCCCCATAATTTGGGCCTCCATGTATACCTGAAGTAATAAGAACTGTTTCATAACAACACCTCAAGAAATCCTGTAGCATATTTATTACTGGCTGGTTACTTTGACCGATATTCTTTGCTAACTTCTAAATATACTTATTTTTAGGTCCACCAAATCCCACAGGGAGACAGACAAGTGAAGCCTCCAAAACCCAAGAGGAGGAAGATCTCTAGATAACATTGAATGTCTTTGTTACTGGTCCAGTACTTATCAAAATGAACATGCACATAGGTCCATATGTAGGTATTGATATAGACATGGTTATATCAATATTTATATGAAGACAGATAGATACCATCACAGGGTGCTACGTGGATTAGTGGTACAATATTTTTGATGATTAGGAGGGATAGTGGTTGCTGGGTAAGCCAATCAGAAATCTTGAGAGGTTGCAGTAACAATGTCAGATGATTACTGAATTTTTTTTTCTATAATACTAAAATTGTGATTATAAGGAATAGTCCAAATGTTTCTGAGAAATTTTCATTGTGTATATAGATAATACAGAATTTCATGGTGATATCTGAAATGTAAATATTGTACAATATTGTCATGTACAAGCGTACCTAATGCACACTTTATCTTTTATTGTACAAAAAATAGTGTACAAAATTCTTTGGTTTCTATTGAGTACACATACAAGAGACTACCAGTGTAAAGTGATAAATAAAAATACAGCCTAAATGCTTTTATATGATAATGTAAAAGATGCTGTTTTTGTATTTAACAGCAGAGAGAAGGCATGATTATGTAATACCTTAATTATGACATACACTTCACGCCACTGAGTGTTCATTGATACTGTCTGTTTGGAATGAACCTTGCCTGGAAGTACTGTACTCCATTTCAGGTCTCTGTAGGAGAGTGCAAACTTGCAGATTCCTAACGGGATGTGGGATCACAGCTCTAATTATTAATTCAAAGGCTGCAACTGTCGGTTGCATTTTTATTTACGTAGCTTTTAAAGTAGAATGCTGTAGATTTTATTAAAAAGAGAAAAAAGTAGATGGACTATTTTAGTCAACCATTTCTGTAGTTAAAGTTTCATAGCCACCTGAGAAACTAAACAGTTTGTATCCCCCGTAACACTGACCCCTCAAAGCCCCTAGATTTATTAGCTTAAATTATCTAACGTCATTAACCATCGTGTTTACTTTTAAGGGGGCAGAAGCCCTGCTTTAATAATGTGATCAGTATTGATTACGGTTTGGTTTTGCAGTAGAGTGAAAGGGCATGCTCCGCAGCGTTCATGAAAGTAATTCCAGTACCCATCTTACAGTATTAAAACAAAAAACGTATTAAGGGTGGCTTACAAAACTATTAGCAACAGTAATTTTTATCAGTATTATGTAACATATCAGATTTATTTTATTTAAAAATTATTTATACCATTAACAGATTCTTATATATATTAATGTGGCTGAAATGTGCAGGTTAAATCTATTAACCAAATTATTTATGTTATATTAAGTGAGAAATGTGAAACATATGTAGAAAAAATTAATACACTACAGATTTAAAAGTCTAAAGCTATGAGCCATTATAAAATTAACGAACGGAAGTATAGCACAACATTATTTCCATTTTATTTCATTTTCTTTTTAACACGGATGGTGGTGATGGTGATGGAAGCAATGATATCATCTGACTTCAAGGCTTCCTGAAATAATTCCCATTTCACCATTCCTGGTCCTGGGGTGGCATGCGTAACCCCCACCTCTTTGTCTGGGGCCACTGCTTACCTCACATTTCCTTTTTTCCCCCCTCCCTGAATTCCCAAATCTCACTCTCTAGCTAAGGACTGGCAGGGATCAGCATCCTGGGAAGCTGGCGGTATCGCCGCTCTCCAGACACCCGGCACTCGGCATCAGGATCACAAGTCATTGCTCCTCTTCCCATCCACCTTGCCCAAGTCCCAGACTCCTCTCTCTGAAGGACATGACCAAGACCAGCCATCCCCAAGGATGACGGGACCCGGCGGCATTCCCAGCCTCGGCTCTCGCGTGCCAGGGCACGCAGCACTACCTCTGGGCTCGTGCCTGGGCTTTCTCATGTCTGGCAGAACAGCTCCCACTCCTCCTTCCCCCCAGCCCAAGGGATCACAATAGCTGCACTGGCTACAGGGGCCTGGAGGCAGGAGCCCTTCCTTCCACGGGGTAGGTTCATTTGTCTTTTCTGTAACGCCACCGTCCTCCATGCAAGCTCTTGTGAAGTGACTGATTTTCTTTATTATTTTTCTCAACTTCTGTCTTTTGGGGGTGTAGTTTAGCACACGTTTTTCTGTCCCACGTTGACGTGTTCATTCAAAGAGTCGCTGTTGGCCATTGTCTGTGCCAGCCACTTTCCCGCTGTCTCTCCACACCCGCGTGGCTTTTAACTCACCACTACATGCGTGCGTGTGTGTGTGTGCGTGTGTGTGTGCGCGAGCACCTGTCTTGATTTAGGTTCTTCCTCCCTTTGCTTTCTGTCCTAGAACTGAGTTTGTATTGACCGACCCCTTCTTTTGGCATTTTAACTAATTAGGTTTGTACTTCCTCACCAATGTATACTTTACATCAGTAGACTATGTAAAGTATTTTTGTGCACTTGATTTCATTGGTTAATAATGGCATTGATGTGGGTGCTAGGAGTAGTTTGCTTCAGTCCATACCAATTTTTTTTTCTCTTTTAGAGTTTTTTATGGTTTCATGTAAGCAGTTAATGTAAATATTGTGAGCATTACAGGTCATGCAGTGTTGTAACATTTTAAGAAATGTTGCACCTACTTTACGATTAAAAAAATGGTCACTCATACTTGAATTTTGCCCATAGAGCCATTTCTTTCTCTTTGCATTGAAGCATAATATACTTTTTTGATGGAGGCCCAACCCTTCTTTCTACCTTATTATTTTTGGTTTAATAAATCTATATTTTTTCTAATAGAAGACTTAAAAATGAAAATTTAAAAAGTACTTTTTGCCTACTTTCTAATTTAAGAGAGAATTCCTATATTTAAAAGGTAAAAAAAAATAAAAAAATACTCCTTTGTGGAAAGTGGAACAACACTTTATTATGTCATTAATATGGCACAATCACACGAACCTGAACTGGCTGAGTAAAGTGAGCCCATGATGTCAAGCAGTATCTCAGTAGATTAGGGAACGACGTGATTCTTTGAGGATGTAAAGTGTTACATATTCTTGTCTATTTATTTATTTATTTATTATGCTTTCTTTTGCTAAGTGGGTGACAATGTGGTTGAGTCATTCAGGTGACATTCAAATTAAAGGAAATATTCCTCTTTCTATTATGGTGCCTTTTGTGAACACCATAAAAAGATATTTTCATTTATTTCAATGGATTTTCTTCATATTCAGAAAATGTTTGGCTGGTATCAACTGCAAAAGCAATATCCACATAGCTTAAACAGAAAAACTTGCAAAAATCAAAAAAACCCCGAACCACCTCTGATTACCCAGGTCTGTTCTCCTCACGGTCTAAGGTTTTAGGGGTTAAAAAGAACTTAAAGGTATTTCCTACATCAGCTCTGCAGAAGGTTTCTAAGTAATGTGATATCCTTTTGGAGTCCCTGAGTTTGATGGTATAGAGATATTAGAGGGCTCGTGGTGGACTGAATTACCTTAGGACTGCTACCTTTCTTAGCTACAGTTTGTATTTTGCTATGTAGGGTTGTAATGTGAGAATTCCAGAAGAGCCGTAGCATAAAAGTGCTTTTCTATTTTTAAAAAAAAAAACCCATTCTAGTCTTACTAAGAATTAGAGATTTTTTTAATATCAGTTTTGTAATTTTTGATAAAGTTGTCAATATTATGATTAAATCACCAGAAAAAAAAGTTACTGTGATGTTCTCTTCGGGGCAGGGACTATGTCTTCCTGTGTATTTGTAAGATGCCACGATGGGATGCCCAGTCTTAAATGGGGCCGTGGGCACCACTATCAAATTAAGTAGCAACCAACAACGCTGAGGTTGATTTCAATGCATAAAAGCCAAGAGAATTCACAGATAAGACTGCAAATCCTTAGTTTGCCTGCTGTGTCCTCTGGGAAGGCAGTACCATCGGCTGCAACATCCGAAGGGTAAGTTGGGGAAGCCAGTGGCCATCAAAGCTTTTGCTTGCGCAATCCAGGACCTTCTCATCGAAGTCAAAACAGACCGCTCTGACAACATGGCCATTGGTCCCCTCCCTCTCGCTGTTTTTACCAGTATTAACTGAGAAACTTCATGTTTCAGGATTCCACAAAATACCCAGTGGTGTAAGCACATTACTGATTTACAAAATCCCAAACGCTTAAACAGAATATGTAGTTCACAGTCCGGTGCAAGCACAAATCATGCTGGTGTCGAATCAGCTCTGGAAAAACACTTTGAGACTTAAAAAAACCAACAGAAAATAAATGTGTTTACCTCCAAATCACAAGCCCGGGGACTTCCTGGGGGCACTCCACCATGCCGAGCATCTCTGCCTCAGTGCTGCCTCTTGGCCTGGTTTTTGTGCCTGTGCACTACCGGGGATGAGAAGGCTCACCGTAAAAGACAAGCACATGTTTACCTGTCTCCTACAGTATTGCTCCAATGCAGCGGTTACAGCAGGGGCTGGTGGTGCATCACTGCAATAACACTACCCAAGCGTATGTACCCCAAAAAGTCCCACCAGCCTCCTGGCCAACCCTGTGTTGGAAGCCGTTGTTTCAACTGGGATGGTAATCAGTTCTGTTTATTTAGCATTTGGAAGCTGAGCAGCGGGATGTCAGGCCTCCATAGCTCATTTCTCTGACAGGTTCTGCAATTTGTTGTTGCTTAAGGAAAAAAAAAAAATCAGATTTGAAATATTCCCTTCAAAACCCATTCTGGAGAGATTTAATTGCTCACATGTTTACCTGCTGTGAGAAAAGTGTTCGTAGTTGAGTGCCATCCCAGCAGAAGATGAGAGGTTAGGATTTAGAGCAGAAATATACGAATATGTATACACACATCCTGGAAATTCCTATTTTGGAAAACATGGGGGAAATGGGAAGGGTTTTGACGTGCTTACCCAGGCCAATGCAGAGTGGAGAGGCAGAGTGAGAGTGTCCCCACGCATTCCTGCATACAAACCCTGAGAAGGCATTAGCACAGGTCACCGCAAGTCAAAGAGAATGACTGCGCACCCACAGAATCCACCAGCGTTTCAGGATGACTGGCGGAAACCAGTGCCAACATGTGAGCAAACTGAGCCTGAGCCACCGCTCCAGCCTGGCTTTGAGTGGTGCTGCACCAGGTACGGTATGGGATGGGAGAACAAAGGCTGTTACAGCCATGTCTACATTCAGGTCCAGTGGCGCAGAGCATTCCCAGGTGAGTCCCATGGGTGTTAATGATTTCACTTTGCTGAGGGTGTTAATACCTATTATTTAAACCTGTTATTTAAACCCAGTGATGGTGGGAGACCACGGATGAGGAGATGAGGAAGAATAAGCATTCTTGCCCTGAGGAAATGTCAAGGGACCAAAATTAAGGCTGCATTGCAAAAACAAACAAAAAAACCCTAAGATATCTTGAGATCCTTTACAACCCTAACCATTATGATTCTATATAACAGATACAATGTACTTGGAGCATGTGAACTGTGAACCTCAGCAGCAGGGAGTTGCAGCGTTTGTGCTATGAGGAGCCACCAACTTTTCAGACAGAAAACAGGTTTACCGAATAGACTTTTTTAATGTTACCTCTGAAGTTTCCATCTCATCAAATCACCATCATTTTAGGCCCTTTTGAAAGAGAAGCAGTTCTTAACTCCCAGTAGAAATATCGCTCATTTTCAGTTCCAGGAAAATCATTTCTTGCTCCTTTCACCAATTTTTCTCTAGGAAGATAGAAAGTCATAAAAATAGCAAAAATTATTGGGGTTTGCCATTTCGAATTCTCAATCATGGGAGCTTCTCTCTGCTTCTGAGTTAAAAAAAGGAAGATTTACAGCTGAGAAATAAGGGAAAACTTTTTTTTTTCTCCTCTCCTCTCCTTTGTTCTGCTCTTCTCTGGACCCACTCCAGCCTGTCCACATCCTTTTTGTAGAGCAGGGACCAAAACTCTATATACAGTATTCCAGGTGTGTCCTAACAAGTGCTGAGTAGGGTGGGATAGTGAGTTCTCTATCTCTGCTACTGATGCCTTTGTTGATGTAGCCCAACATCTTGATGGCTTTCATTGCCACAGCTGCACACTGTGCACTCCTATTGAACTTGTGTCCCCCAGGACCCGAGGTCTGTTGCCACAGAGCTGCTCCCCAGCTGGGCAGATCAAGCCCATGCTCCACTCCTGGACTGTGTTCTCCCAGGTGCTAGACCCTAAACTTGTCTTTGCTATGAGGAAAGTCATTGTACCTTATGAGCCAGGTCTTGACGTCCTTCTCGCATGCTCTCTTGATCGGCAGGAATCTCCAAAATTACTGATGGAGCAGTGAGGAACATCACTAATGTCCTCGCTTACTCCAGTTATTAAACATGAGATTTCCACATTCCCATCCCAATGCCCTCAGGCTGCCCTTGGATGCTTTGCAAGAGCTCTTTTTGCTTAATAAAGCTTGGTCGTACCGGTAAGTGGATGTTGAACTAAAAGCTTTATATAAAAGTTTAGTTAAGCTCATATAAAAGCAGTATAAACTATTCAGAATTGAAAGTTTTAAAAATAAATAAAAAAAATAAAAATTAAAAAATAATAAAAATAGTAATTTAAAATTATTTAAAAAAAAGGGGGGGGGGACACACATTGAAGATTTACCAAGTACCCGTGCTTTGAGTTTGTGGTTATGGGGTCATCAAGTGAAGTCCTTGGAAAACAATGCAGAAGAGTGCTCTCTCTCCAGGTGAAGGAGCCAAGCTTGTCCACCGGGGAGGAAAAAGACCAAATTAGTTAAACAATAGGGCTTTCAGGCCCTGCAGCATGTGCTGCAGTAGTGAAACGGATTTGTGTTGTGCTATTTGATCCATTGGTAGGAATGAATAGATTAAGAAACCTCACCCTGAGAAAAAAAACAGACAGCAGCTGATGGGGGCAGAGCCCGCAGGAAAAACCTGGTACTACCTAAGCCTTTGTAAGTTCTAACTTGGTTATGGCTGAGTGGTTAAAGCAGAAAGTGTTAGAATTAAAAAATAAACGCATAAATAAATGAATTAATTTTAAAATGAAGTGCAAACTTTGGGGGATTTCTGCAAGCACACGCATGGTGTTTGCAACCCTAACACCTGCAACCGGCCAGTAGCTTCTATAGAAATTGCATGGGAAGTCCTGCGTCAGCACCCACTTCAACAGTTTCTGAATCCAGGAGCCGCTTTACACCCCTCTCCTTTTGCCCGCAGGTCAGAGCGCAGTGGAGACGCGTGGCTTTGAAGGGAGGTCTCCATGGCCTGGTGGAAGAGCCCTGACAGCACCTTGCTGGCACCTGTACAAAGGGTTAGGTGGAATGGGTTTATCTTAAAATGAAACACACATTGGCATGGCAGCACAGGTCCAAGCTGCACGTGATTCCTGTTAAAATACTTGGAATACTTGTGGGAGAATTAGGCTGAAGCCCAGTAATGGTGTGAATTAAATCTGAGCAGAGCATTTCTATTTACAGTCAGAGTTCTTGCTGGGGAAGTTGTAACTGGGGGTTAGCTGAACACACAGTCACGTATTTCAGAGTAACAAAATATCTGCATTTGTTAGAACTGAGCTACTTCACTAAAAGCAAAGCTAATATTAGTTAGGAATACAAGAGAGGCAGCAAAGCACAGCAAGCAGCAAATTATGAATTATTCAATGTAAATGTCAAGTTTAGTAGTGAATGTGGATGTAAATCTTATTTTGAAAGGCTACGCGTTGCCATTAAGCAAGTCCATATGACGCTACATCTGTTGGATTTCTTTTATATTTATATCATTTTATTTTTATGTATGCAGGAGAAAAGTATTAGGATTTTCCACATTAGAATTTTAATAACATCATTTCTCCAACTGCTGTTGTCTGTAGATTCAAGGTTTGATGAAGGGATGATTTTTCTGGCAGAGGTTATATCTGTATCCACCTCATTAACCACACAAGCCATAAGTCTTCAAATGAGAATTTGCTTTTGCAGAGGAATTTTATTGTTCCACATATTGAACCCAAGAAGTCAGATCGATGTAACTAGGTGCTGTTTTCGGAGCATTGCTCCCTGATCTGGCGCTTTGGATTGATCTCACACTGGGTATCTTTTTGAGTCACTCCATGAAGAACTCTTCCAATGGGGAGGGGGATGGGGATGCAGTCTGGATCAAAATCTGTTCAAT